AATTGAAATTCTTTATCATTATTTGATTGTAAAAGATTACTTAATGCTATACTAACAGTAAAACCATTTTTGGGTATTTGTGTACGTTGTGCTTTTCGTCGTTTATTAATAACAACAAGAATTTGTAATGCTTGTTCTCGTACATGTACAGATAATGTTGAATAATGTGTATAAATATATGATAATAGATATTGTACAACTTGTTCTTTTAATGGATCATCTAATGATGACCATTCTTTAACAATACCTTCACGAAGTGCTGTTAATGTTTGATAAACAACATAACTTGATGATGAATGTTCAATTAAATATCGATATAAATCAAGTGAAAATTGTGAACGACGAAATTGTAAAAATACCTGAAAGAAGATTTTGTATTTTAGATATATATATGATAAATAGGAACAAAAAAAATTCCAACTAACTTTTTCAGCTTCACGACGTCGTTCATTTGTAATTGTATTAGCAGCTGATAAGAATGTTTGAGCAGCATCTTCAAGTACTTGACGAATATTTTCCATATCCATATTTCTCAAACTTCTTCTTTCCTTTTTTTTTCAAATAGATGTTTGTTTTGTTTTATTAGCAAAAATTAACCATTCACATATCAGATGATATTATAGTACCATCTATCGGTTAATATATATATATTTTTTAATATGATTCATATAGACATTTTTTTTCGTTTCAATGACACAACGAAACTGTACCCAATTTCGGATGAAAAAACCCGGTAAAAACTTTTTAATTATCTTAATTATTTATTTATATTTTTTTCTGAAATATTTAGATGAACTTGAAAATGAATTAAACAATTTACAACAGGAATTAAATATTTTAAAACTTGGTACAAATAATTCAAATAAAATTGAAAACATTCAAAAATCTATAGTACATATACGTATTGTTCAAAATCAAACAATAAAAGATAATTTAAGAAATTTTTATCAAGGAGAAAAACATAAACCAAAAGATTTACGACCTAAACAAACACGAGCAATACGACGAGAATTAACATCAAATGAAAAATCAATTCAATTAAAGAAAATACAAAGAAAAAATAGCAGTTTTCCACAACGTACATTTGCGATTAAAGATTAAGATTTAACTTTTTTTTTCGTGTAATTTAATAAAATAAAAGATGAACAGGTACATATTGTTTTATATATTCTAGATTATATTTTATGTCAAAAAAGAAACAGGTAACATTCCAAAGTAATATTCCAGGAAAATTTATTCCAAGAGATGATCCACCAGCAGCATCAGGTTTGCATTTCAATCATGTGAATGATAATAAGATCTGATATTGTATATTTAATAGTCTTTCGTTTTGGATCAAATGGCAATCGATTTAATTCGAGAATGGCTGAATTACTTGCTTCATCATCATTATCAACAACAGTAAATAATGAAAATGAATCTATTCCAAATACTAGAATATCATTTCAAGATAATCCAATATCATCATCAGTTTCACCTGAAGTAACTACTAATGATTCAACACCTGTTCATTCAAGATTAATACATCGGCGTATTGCAACAATGCTTGACACATTGAAAGGACGTGGTAGTAATAGTGGAAGTACTTCACCGCCATCAACGCCAAAATCAATACCTACGAATATTGAATCTAAAACACAACCAATCACATTTGGACAATTACGACAAGCAACAACATCATCCACACTATCACCACCACCATCGTCTTCTTCTTATTCAACAGTTGTCGAAGAAATTTCATCATCCAGAGTTTTATCAACTAATACATCCCCTGATTTTCTATCGATCCATACGTCAGACAAACAGCCTCATCATACAAATGTAACATTATTAAAAACTGATAATCGTTCAGATTTAATGCCAATATCATCAACACCAATAGCCAATAAATTACCTTCAAAACATCAATCAAATAAAGCACGACTTCATTATTCAGCTTCACTTGAAAAATTACTTGAACAACATAATGTTGTTCCTCAAATGATTGAAGACAGTGAATTACAGCAAGAAGATCAACAACAACAACAACAACAAGAACAATCAAAACCACCATTAACAGTAGATGAGATTCTAGCTACTCATTATTCGAAAATTAAAATACCAACAACTACTGAAGTACAAACATCAACATCATTACAACAACATTCATATCCAAATAATAGTTTAGGTTTTCATCTTCAACCATCATCATCAGGATGGAATCCATCACAAATCAATCAACGTGTTACTCCAATTCCTCATCAACTTAAATTAAATGAACAAAATAAGAATCGACCACCACCTCCTTCCTATTCATTTTCTATGTCTAATGGTCATCGTCCACCTGCACCAAGTATGTATAATATCTTTTCTATGAGAATAAAAACTCATTTTTTGATATTAGCAAATAATCTAGTTCAACATTTAATTCGTCATCCTGTACCATCACCAATACGTGAATATGATTATTCTGCATCTCAGTTAGCTCAACAGCTACTACCGGTAAATCCATCAATAATATCTGCTTCTTCTTCGTCTTCATCTGTTACAACAAATACTTCTATTCGAACTCCACCACCACGTTATGAGTTGCCAACAACAACAACAAATATTGAACGTTCTCATTCAGCATTATCATCAATGAATCGTTCAAATTATTCTCAAACTAATCCTTCACATGCTGGTTTTGATCGTGAATTTTCTCGTTTACTTTATGGTAAAGATGGTGGAAAAAAAAGTCATCAACGACAAAAACGTAAATCACTCAGTGATCCAGTGAAGTAAGAAGAAATAAATTATAAAAATTTTGATTACTTCTATTTCTTCTTATTCTATTAGAAAAAGTGTTGAAGAAGCAGGTCGATCAGTTGAAAAAACTCATCGTCGATTAACAAATCATTTACATAAAAATGATATAGTTAGAGAAGAAGAAGAAACAAGTAGTGATTCAAATGAAATTGATAAACAAAGTCGTAGTTTATTTCCACAACGACATTTTCAACGACAATCAGAGTAAATTAATTAAATATCTTTGTATTTATCTAATTTCCAAAAAAATATTTTTTAGTCTTATTGTAAACAATCGAGAATTTGCTAAAAAACCTATTGTACCTCCTAATCCATTTATAACAAAACCAATTCCACAATTTTTAACTGTTTATTCTCAAGCATCATCATCGAATGATATTCTTCTACAATGGCAATTATTTAGTTTATCAGATCTTGAATCATTTGATGCAATGATGACAAGATTATATAAAGATGAAAATTTATTGCGTGTTAAACTTTATGAAATGTATCGTACATTACTTACATCAGTATTAATATCGAAAACATCATCAAATAAAATTGATCTTAAAAATAATATTAATGATGATGATGATTCAATAACAACAACAGCTTTGTAATAATCAAATAATTATTTTCCGGTGCTTCAATAATTTGCTTTTTTTCTATTTTGTTTTGTTTTATATAGTGCAACAGTAAATAATTTTCTTTTTTTTTAATAATTTGTAGATAGAAAAAAATATAAGCATGAATTTTATTGATAAACTTCTTAAAAATAATCCGCATGTTCATATTCATAATGATAAACGAATTCATGTTGAAGAAATTATTTGTTCATTAATTAATGATGGACGAAAAATGTTACATGTTGTAGCTGATTTTGATTTTACATTGACAATGTATGAAAAAAATGGGTGTCCATTACCAACAACATTTGCTGTTGTCGAAAGCAATGAACATGTTACAGTAAGAATTTCATTTATTTTTTATGTTCTGACTAATGTAATTCTTATAGTTATTGAGTGTCTCGAAGTATTTCAAAAACAAAAATTGCCAGGAGAAAAATTATGATGATTTATTTCACAAATTTTATTGAGTTTTTGATCTATATATAGGATGCGCCACGACAAAATCAATGTCGTCATTACGATTAGACACAGGTAATATAATTTTTATTATACAGGGAAATTTTTGTAAAACATACACCTTGATAGATAATATCATATTTTCAGGGTGAGGGTGGGTGTGTATCTATGTTCTTCATCTATATCTAGACGCCCCCACACTCTCCTGAAAAACATATAGAGCATGTTAGATGCCAGTACAAACAAGTTGCATAAAAGTTTAGATTGCACTGTAAATTAGAAAATAAGTTATAGAGTTTTTTAAAGGATATTCTAGAAATGCCTATATGAATTTGACCAACATTTTCCAAGTACTTGCAAATCACAAGCGATTTTTAATCTGCAGTTTTTTGCTACGAAATAAATTTGAATTAATAGATTCGCAAAAATCAACTAATGGATTATAGAATTTACAGTGTATAACCAATTCGAAATAAAAAAGATAAAGTAAAAAATCAATTAATCAGATTGATAAAGAAAAGACATTCAATAAATTGAGTTCAAGTTTAATAATTTCTTACTAACAATACGTAATTACATTATATCAAGAATCTGATATAGAATATTAACATTATAGTCGAATATATTTACAAATGATCAAATATCTTTCATTATAAAACCATACAATAGATTCTTTCTATGTTAAATATTTGTATTTGAAAACATTCATTTTATTAAATACATAAATAACAAATAGAAACTACATCGAATAATTAATTTAACATCTGTCCTATCAGTTACTATTTGTCAACCATATTTTTCAAATATTTAAATAATCTATCTTTCAATATATTCATTTAGTTGCCTGATGGTTCATTAGTTCGTGATCAAGCTGATCAATTACGTTTAAAATATCATGCAATTGAACATGATGTTAGTTTGACTATACAAGAAAAAATTCCTTATATGATTGAATGGTGGCAGAAAGCTCAATCTCTCATACTTGCTTCGAATCTCAATCAATCAATGATGCGAGAGTTAGTATATCAATCAAAATTAGAATTAAGACAAGGTGTAAACGAATTTATTACTGATTTATTACAAAGTGATATTCCTATTCTCATTTTTTCTGCTGGGTTAGGTAAATATTTCATTTTTCAATATTATTTCATATGACAAATCTAATTTTAGGTGATGTGATTAAAATTTTTCTGGAAAAAGAAATTCCTAAATTTAAATATAATCATAAATCTTCACATATTGTCTCGAATTTTATTCAATATGATCTCAATGGAAATTTAATCTCATTTAATAAAAAACTCATTCATTCATTTAATAAAAATGAACATGAAATTGAAGATACATCATATTATCAATCAATTCTCAATCGTTCAAATGTTATTCTTTTAGGTGATACACTTGGTGATGTTGGAATGGTTGGTGGAATGAATAATTTAAAACAAGTTCTTAAGATTGGTTTTTTAAATGGAAGTATACCAGCAAAATTAGAAGTTTATAAAAAAGTTTTTGATATTGTTATCTGTGATGATCATACATTTGATATACCTAATTTAATTTTAAACGCAATTTAGAAATTTTTTTTTTAATATATTTATTTTAGCAAATTTATTAACTCGGAGTAGTTTGAGAAAGTTTTATTTACTAACAACACCCCATTTTTTTATATTTTTAGATCGATGAGTGTGGAAAAAATTTGTACAAAGAAAACAAAGTTTTCATTTTTAAAGAAAATGTAAGAAAATAATGATGAAATTATGTGTCATGTTTATTTGATATATTTTAGCTTGATACGATGGTTTTTTGGTGTGATTTTAGTTGTTACTTCATTGATTATATTAGCACCAGTATTACTTCGTTCGTATGGAGATTTGATTTTAACAAAAATGTTTTTCCAAACTTGGTGTAATTATTTTAATCCTTTATTATTTAATTTAAATATTGTATTTATTTTTATTTCTAAATAGCTCGGTATTATCCATGGATTGATTTGAGCAAACCAGATTTATTCAGATTAAATGCAGCTAATGTTTACGAACAAACAGAAGCAAATGTTACAGTAGGAATGTGGTAAGTTTAAGTCTATAGCAACAAATCTGAGCTAGTTACGAACACTTAATACCATCTTTGGATTGAGACTAAGAAGATCATAGAACTATTTTAATTGATATAGGTATATATTACCATCAACAGTTAAAATTGATCAGAATTTACCAACACTTGCTGATCATCTTAAACAATATGTTAATTCTAATGATCTTCCTATCATTATGTATTTACATGGTCAAGATGGTACAAGGTAAATAAATAGAAACAAGGATGATTTTTATAAAAACAAAATACGTTAAAATTTATGTTAGAGCAACACATTATCGATCGAATCATTATCGAGTCATGAGCAGTTTTGGTAATCATATAATTGCACTTGATTATCGTGGATACGGTGATTCAGTTGGTGTGCCATCTGTACATGGTGTTGTTCATGATGTATTACATGTCTTTAATGTAATACGTAAAGTTTGCCCTGAAAATCCAATAGTTATATGGGGTCATTCAATGGGTACCGGTGTTTCGCTATGGACAATGAATAATATATTTCAAAATCATACAAGTAAACAAATAAATTTCTCGAAAAATAATTTTATTATTTTTTGTTTGTAATCTAGAAGTAAAAAAACCAGTTGGTCTTGTTCTTGAAGCACCATTTTACAATACAATAGAAGGACTTGTTTCATATCCATTAACACGAGTATATTTTAAAAATTCTTCTTCTTAAAATTATGATATTTATCATTAAGGTATTAAAAATCAATCCATATTTTATGCAAGCTGCTCTTGATGCGTTAACAACTGCAAAACTCGATTTTCCAAATAATGAATTGTAAAAATATGTCAATAGAGAGAAACATAAATTATTTTCTTCTTATATTTAGGATATCATTTCTACCATTACCGATCGTTATTATTCATTCAGAAGATGATGCTATTATTCCTTATCATCATGCTCATTTAGTAAATCCAATAAGAAATATTTTTATTATTTGAATTTATTTATTATTTAGATTGAAAATTATGTTAAAACTCATCGCGATAAAAATCTACCTCCTATTCGTCTGATAACTGTTCCACGTGCAGCACGTTGTGGACACAATCATATTTATTCCTATTCAAAATTCCAAGAAATTGTTAGGTAAATAGAAAAAAAGAAACGAATCTTTTTTAAATAGATAATTTTATTGATTATTTATTTTAGTGATCTTTCATTTCTTAAACGTTTACCAGTATCGTAAATCAAAATTGTATGTCATATAGTTATAGGTCATATACATGTAGAAATCTCGTGATTTTTTTTTGTTGTTGTTGTGCAAATTAATTATAATTTAATCTTTAAAAAAGAATAAATGTTTTTTTCTAGATATTAATAATAAAAGAATGAGTGAATCAAATGCTAATCGTCGATGGCCCAAACCTATGTAAATATATTTAATGATCTAAAATTTATTTCTTTTAACCCTTTCGGTTTTTGAATAGTTCGATTTTAACGAAAATAAGTTTTATTACGGGTGGTATATATATATTAATTTCATTAACATTACCCATTCTTCTTATTATTTATCCAACAATTGTAAAACATATTGTTTTTATGAACTTTTGTAAGACAGATTGCATTTGATATATATATGTAATAACTGTGTTTTTTTTTTGTATATATAGTGAAGACAGGTACTAATTTTACTCAACCGGAAGCATTTGGTGTTGATCGGGTTTTTAATTTTTATTTGGATGTTGAACCTACAGTTCGTCTTGGTATATGGTAGGTTATTAAATTCAATAAATAGAATAGATATGACATATTTTGCTAAAAATGAAATCTCTCAAATATAGATAGTTGTTTGATACCATTGCATTGTCTCATAAGTTAGAAGCAAAACTTTTGAAGAGCCAAGTCTGTAACAAATTTGAATAAGACAAAATTGAATTTCGCTCTGATATAACTATGCATATAATGCGTGTCACGTAACAGTTACGATGGATAAATCATTGTTTATTATTTTATCTGCTTAGGCATTATCGTTCTCCATTAGTTCAAGACCAATCATACACGACCGATGAAGAGTATTTTCAAAAGCATATTGAATCTACATCCTCAAAAATTCCAATCATTATTTATTTTCATGGCAATGCTTTTGATCGGTATTTAAAACTATATTTTTAATTTATTGAAAATATCAAGCTGAAAGTATTTGATATATTTTAGTTCTTTATTTAATCGTCGTGGAATGTGTAAAAAATTACGTGAAGAATTAAAATATGATGTTTTTACATTTGATTATCGTGGTTTTGGTGATTCAACTGGTGAACCAACAGAAGAAGGTTTAATTCGAGATGCTCGTTATGTTTACGATTGGTTACATAATATAAGTAATGGTCAAAGAAAAATTTATATTTGGGGTCAATCACTTGGTTCATCGGTAGCTTGTCAATTAGCTGCAAGATTATCGGATGATGAAAGTATGAATCTAATATTCTCTACAATGAAAGTATTTATTTATTTATTTAGGTAAAAGTCTTGCTGGTATTGTTATGGAAGCAGCATTTATCAATATTCATCAAGCATTACAAACTCATTATCTTTCATTATTATTTCGTTGGCAACCATGGTTTTCTAGTTTAACTGAAAAAGCATTACGTATAAATAAACTCGGATTTCAAACACGTGGCCACTTATCAAGTGTTAATTGTCCATGTGTACTTTTACATGCTGATGATGATTATACAGTACCTTATTTTCATGGTAAACAATTATTACAAGCTGGTTTAGCTGCTCGTGATGATCATAAACAAAAGAAAAAATTACTTCATTTTACCATTGATATGATTTCATATCATGGTGCTGGTTATGGACATTCACTTATTTACCGAGCACCTAATCTAATACCTACATTGAAGTATGCTATTTTTTCTCTTAAACTATTGTTAGTTCGATTTTTTTTAGACGTGTGATATTTGACGAAGATTTATAAAAATTCGTGCTACAATCAATCTTCCAATTATGAACAAATGTAATTATACATGTATTTTATATGTAGAACATAACAAAAACATAGTATCAATTTATTTAACATAGAATGTTTTTCTTCCATTGATAAATCTGTCATATATATATTTTTTAATGAATAAAAGCGACTATTAGTTTTAAAATGATATTTGACCTGAGAACGGAGTATATCTATAGATTAAATATCCGATTCTTGAATCAAATTTTTATGTTTTTTTTTGATAAATTTCGTTTTTTATTGATTATAAGAATAATACTTTCCAGTTTAAATATGTTTTTTCGAAATAAAAATAAAATAATAAACTATCGTAGAGAAAATGCCTTGAGTAAACATATACACAAAGTCATACAATGACCTGATGTAGAATGTTATTGCGTAGAATTTGACATTTTATGTGTCACATATTTTGCTTCGACTTATATAAGAAATGTTTTGATCACGTTTTATTTTACAGCAAAAACGTTCTTGATATTTCATTCAAAACTCGGAGAGAAAAGAATCCGCCAGAATTTATACCAATAGTTCGTAATAAAACAATATAACATTCGATGAATGAAAAAATTCTTCACCAATAATAATATCAGTATTTGTTTTCATTTAAATAAAAAAAGAGGCTCATCTATTTAAAAGACAAAACAAATTGAATAATATTTTGACTAGGTAAAAATAACAAGAATTACACGGAGGTATTATTTATCAAACAAAGAATAAATTCATAAGGAAGTATTTTTAAATAAAATTGACCATCATTTGGTAAAGAATATTTAACAACATTATCATTATCGATTTTAATTTTAATCTTATTTAATTCAAGTATAAGATTACAAGTTTCTTGATGTGTTAATTCAAAAATTTTCTCTACCAATTCACGTCGAGTTAATGTATGTAAATAAATAACAGAATATATATCATTATTTGCAGTTTTTATATAGAAAGTTTTTAATGGTGGTACAATAATTTCATGTAATTGATTATAAAGACGAATACCAATTGAATCATCATCATTACATATACGACCTAAATCATTTGTAGTTAATCGAAATAGATCCATACCTGTATAATGTTGAAAACGATTTAAAACTGTTGAAAAATTATAAGTTTTTAACCATTTTAATACATCTTCATTTGATGATCGAATTGAAAGTTTTGTTTCTATTTCTTTTTCTTTTGATAAATCTAAACCTATATATTTCACATCTGGTGATGGCGTTGATAAAAATTCATAATTATCATTTAATTTTTTTTGTATATCATCATAATCTTTTTTTTCAACGGAATCGTTTTCAGTTGAAAGTGTATATACATCTGATAAATCATCTGGTGGATAAGATAGACTAAGAAGATCAAGTGTATATAGTGGTGATGCATTACATGATTGTAATATAGTATATTCAAGTGTTGTTTGATAACGTCGACGTTGATCATGATTTAATTTATCAATTCTCAATTTATCTGCTTTATTTTTTCTTTGTGCACCTTTTAAACGAAATAATTGAATTTTACAACAACATGCATGTAAATGTTTAACATTATCAATACCATTTTCATGATATGTATCGATTTGTATACGTAATGGTATACCTTTTTCTCCTCCATGTCGTTTATTAGCAAAATCAGTTGATGTACATTTAAAACGAATAAATAATGATGTTGTTGTCGATGTATCCCAAACAATTTCAACGGCATTTGGTATTTGTCTTGAGCATATAATTGATAAAATTCCATAAGTTAAATTCGTATCAATATCAAATAATGATGATAATTGTTGTTCATTAAGCCATTTTTGCATTAATTCACGTTCTTGATTTTGTAATGTTTTATCCCAAAAACATAAACGTAATATTGAACGATAAGTTGTTGGTGAAGATTTATTTTCTGAAAATGAATTAATATTTGCTTGAAATTTGATTTCATATGGTTGTCCTTGATTTAAATATGTTGTTGTTTCTTCATTGATTCTTGCTGATGATGATGTTAGAGCATTTAATATAAATTCGAATTGAGATGATGATGATGATTGATGTGTTAATGGAGCAGATGAAGAAGAGATTGATGGTGTAGATGCATGACTTTCGTCAGAAAGTTGGTCACTATTTAATAGGTAACGATCAAGATCATCAATAATATCGTTACTGAGAGAAATATTCGAAAGAACATTATTTGATGATGAATCATGAAGTAAATTGTCACCATTTTCCGTTATTGATTTTTGTGATGATAATGATTGTTCATGAAATGAATGTTCCATACGATATAGAATTGTTGCTAATGCTGAATCGTGTAGCATTGACATTATGTATCTTGATTTTTAATATAAAATATTGCCTAGTACACGTGATGACAATCTTGTATGATGCGTGCGTTTCGTTTTGATTTATGTACGCAGTTATATGGGCTGATTTGTGTATTTATTTTTTTTTACTTTTCTATATGTTTTGTAATGTATGTAAAAAAACGAACCACACTCATAACTTGTGGAGAAATCGATGTAAAAACGAAAGGAAAGAGAAAAGAAAATATTCATCGATGCATGCTAATATTCAACATTTAATTGTCAACATAACATTTAAATCTTGATTGTCCAAAATATATTAATCATTACCATTTTTAACTATAAAATATTTTACAAAATGATATTTCTTATCACTGCTATTAATTTAATTCTATGAATGATTGTATATTCATTAGGAAAAAAAACAAATAAACAAGTTCTAGTTAATCATTCACCTACTCATTAAATTACTTAATAGATGTTGTTGTCAATAAAGATATCTTTACTCTTTTTCATTTTATTGCATGTTTAAATACGTTGTTATAACTTATTTATCAGCTGGGAATCAGAGATTTTTCTACGCCTAGTTTCAGATGACGTATAAAATACATTGTACTCTTACAGGACATAACAAAATAGAATGACAATCTATTTTTGATCTGTTATTACTCATAGCAATTATTTTATTGAAAGCCAATCAATTGAATTTTATCAGATATAAAAATGAGCGTTAGCAAAACTGAAAAGTCAAGAAGTTTATATTAATTATCGTTTGATATTACTATACGCATCAGCAGAAGAAAGTTCTGGACATAAATGAGAAATTTTGTTCAAAAAATTTTTTTTGAATGATATCATTGGAAAATATTCTTCATAAATTACTCAGATGCTTAATCATTGGGATATTATCCATGAACATTTTTTGCTCATAAATATAAATTATTATAATTAATCTAACATATCAGAATTCTCATTATATACATCACAGGCAATATTTACATGACCATGTACTTTATGCATATAAGTTCCGCATTTGCAGTATCTAGTGGTAATGCTACTAGGTTATTGTTTACTTTAATAATCAAAAGCTTTATCATAACAAGTTTTGCACTGATAGAGATGTTGCTATTATTGTTGTTGTTAATGATGACGTCATCTATTCGATATAATAGATGGGGAAGACAATATAACATGAACCTTTGTTGAATATATAAGAAACAAATGAAACTCTTAGAAAAAGGAAGTATTTAATAAAAGAGGTCATTCAAAAACTTTACAGTCTAAGAAGCCGATATCGATTAATTGATTACTTAGTCAAAAAATAATGCTTTTTTTATACATATGGACCAAATGGTATTAGTTATATTAAGAAATACGATTTTCCACTTATTGAATAAACCTTTTCCTAATTATTCGTCATTAATGTCTCTATTAAAAATGTATTTAACAGAGGTTTTTAGTAGCTATATCAAAAAACAAAAAATCTATTTTTTTTTCCCACTATCATAAATTTAATATCTACAACCCATTAAAAATACATTAGAATAAAACCGTTCACGACTACTGATTAAGCTTCATTATACATCCTCATTTATATTAACAGACGCAATCGTATATTAAGTTTCTTATATGAAAAAATTCTCTTTCATGGTTGTAATTTGATATAATTCTTAAAAAATAAGAGTTATTAATGGTTCCATTGTATTATTAATTAAACAGAATATCTAAACGTAAATTATGTGATTTATTCAAGAGCATGAATATACGACGTCTTTTAATGTTGATAAAAGGAAGTACAAATATTTTTCTCTTCTGTTTAGATTGATAGATATCTATATATAATATGATAGTCTAACGCTCTCTATGACATTGTTATATAAGGCAAAGTAACTCTCCAATAGAAATCTGACTAACGACTTTTGATGAATCACACAGTTTACATTCAAAAAAAACCTTTCTTTTCTTTAGAGATCGCCTCACTGAGTATCAGGTGGTGTTCGGCCGGATTTTTTCTCCTAATAGAACGACAACGTGTGACCTCCAATACAATGATAATTGTCATTGAAAAAGAAAAAAAGAGGAGAATTTTCTAATATATATCTGAGCGACTTTAATCTAAGCTAAATCTATTCATGATTGTAACGAAAACACGTCGTCGTTTAACTAATGTGAATAATCATTTTACTCGTCATAATTTGGTAAGATTTTTTATGTCTTTTTTTTTCATTTATTATTATTATTTATGTATGAAAAAGATTATATTATTTTAAAATGAAGTAGATCTTTCTTTTTTTTTATATGAATATATTTTGATATAAAGTCAAGTACTCATTTTTTTCTTAATTGTATTATTAATTTACCTAAGTGTACATGATTGAACATTTCACTGGCGGCAATAGCAGTGTCGAATAAATTACGACGTCTTTCGTCGTCGACCATGACAGATTATATCACTGATCTCGATAAATCTACAAATTCGAATGATAATGATGAAGAAAAACGTGTCAAATTTGAAAATAAACGATATAAATTATTCAAAGTATATGATTTATTTTAATCTAATTTTTACATAAAAAAAATACTTATTAAATTTTATTTACAATTTTGTCATTATTTTAGCCTCGTGGTTTTGGTAAACCAAGTGTATATCATGGACTTGTTGTAATATTTCTTGAATTTTTTGCATGGGGTCTTCTCACTAATCCAGTTATTACGGTAGGAAATTTAATTTTAGTTATGAAATTGTTTTTTCACTAATCCTATTTGTCTGTTTAGACACTTAATCAGACATTTCCAACTCATACTTTTCTAATGAATGGTGTCATTCATGGAATAAAGTAATTCTTTTCCTTTTTATATATATGAATTTATTGCTTTTTGTTTTGCTCTTATAGAGGTTTATTGACATTTTTAAGTTCACCATTACTTGGTGCCTATTCAGATGTATGGGGAAGAAAATCATTCTTACTAATTACAGTGTTTTTTACATGTTGTCCAATTCCACTAATGAAAATCAGTCCAATGTAAGTAATACTTCCTTTTTATTTTCATCTATATATATATATAATCTCAAGTGTATGCTGATTGTAAGAATGAATTAAATAGCTATAAGAAATAATTGAATCTGTTGAGAATATAAATCGAAAGTTACCTAATACATATGTTTTCTAATGTCAAATTAATTTATTTTAGGTGGTATTTTGCGTTAATTAGTATCAGTGGTCTTTTTTCTGTAACATTCAGTGTTGTCTATGCATATGTTGCGGATGTTACTGATGAGAATTCACGAAGTGCTGCATATGGTATATATGATTTCATCTGTTGATTATTGTTATATTAAATTATGAGTTTTTATTCAAGGTTTGGTAACAGCAACATTTGCTGCATCATTAATTACAAGTCCAGCTATTGGTGCACATTTAGCAAGACTATATAGTGAAAATTTTGTCATTGCACTTGGTAAATTATTGTACTTTTTTTAAATTTATTATATACTTTTGTATTTATTAAGGTACTGGAGTTGCTATTCTTGACTTAATATTTATTTTTTTTTTCGTGCCCGAATCATTACCAGAACGATTAAGAGCCGATAATAAAATATCGTGGGATAAAATCGATCCTTTTGCTGTATGTTTCTTTATTATCTATTCGAAAAAAAAAATTCAATGTCAAAATATATATATAGGCTCTTCGAAATATCACAAACGATCGATTTATCTGTCTTATATGTCTTATTGTTCTTTTATCTTATCTCCCCGGTGAGAAATCTAAGTAATAATTATTTATTTTTATTTCCATTATGTTTTTTAGAAGCTGGACAATATTCATGTTTTTTTATGTATCTACGACTAGTATGTTTTCTTTTTATTTATTTATGTATAGTTGTAATGATAAAAATAATAATTTATTTCTATAGCTGCTTGGTTTTTCGGAAGATGAAATAGCTTATTTTATTGCTTTCGTCGGTATTTTTTCTTGTATTGCTCAAGTAAATAAGATCTTATGATTATTTTACATTAAAAAAAAACAAATCATTTAAATAAATTTTTAGACAGCATTATTAGCTTGTTTACAAAAATATTTCGGCTCAAAAGAAACAATTATGGTTGGATTATTTTTTCAAATTGTTCAATTAGCAGCTTATGGAGTTGCAACATCAAATTGGTAAGATCAATAACATATAAAGATTAAATAAATAAATAAATCATTTTTATATAGGGTTATGTGGTTTGCTGGAGGTTTAGCTGCATTATCATCTGTAACTTATCCATCGATAAGTGCATTTGTTTCAGTTTATGCTAAAGATAATCAACAAGGTAATGAATAAAATAAGAATATATTTAATTCATTTTGTTTTAATTTTAGGTCTTGTACAAGGTATGGTGAATGGGGTGCGGGGTTTATGTAATGGTCTTGGCCCGGCTTTATTTGGTTTTATATTTTATTTATTTGATGTTAATTTAAATGAATCAGTACCACCTATACCTTCATCATCAACAATATCATCACATTTAAATCGTACAACAATACGTATCAGTGAAAAATCAATGTATTTATCAATGCTTAGTCGTGATGTTCCCGGTCCACCATTTCTTTTTGGTGCTTTACTTGCTACTATAGCATTAATGTTTTGTTTATTGTTACCAAATTCAAAACCAGAATCAAATGGAATGTATGTTGATACGAGAATTATTGAACAGAAAGCTCGTTTATTAGATATTGATAGTGATGCTAATAGCCATGTTTCAACATGATCATTTGTTTCTTCTTTTATTTAGTTTATAAATCCTTGTTTGTTTATTTCTCTGTTGTTGCTTTTGTTGTTATTCGATTACTATTTTGTTATGAGAAAAAATATACTGAAGATAAATGATTAAAATTATACAACAAAAAAAAAATAAATAAATAACGAAGCAAATAATTTATTTTATTATATGATTTTATGACAGATAGTTGTTTAATCATAAATAGCTGCTCGTAATTCTCACAAAAGATTTATAAGATTAATAATAAAATCAAAATAGAATTTTTTCTCCTATATAGAGTTCAATTGATTAAATAAAATATTTTTATATGATTTTTACAGTCTTAGAAATTATCTTTATTGAAAAATTTGTACATTTACATTTCATTGATATAGTAAATCACTTAAAGTTAAAAATTCTTATTAGAGTGATTTTTTTTTCTGTCAATTATTTTATCGATGATTATTGGTTACGAAATCAGCAGATTCTTCATTGACTTGTTCAAGAGAAGAAAAAAAATTCAATCAATGATGTAAGTACAGTATCTATTATTTATAGCCATTAAAACTTTCTAAATTTACTTCCTTAAGAAATGACTAATATACACTTATATAGTTTAAGGAAGTTAAGCTGATTTCACAAGAAACAATTATAGATGTGATACTTCGAAAAAAATGTGTTTAGATTATCTTTTTGTGAAATTGATTTGTAATCGATTCTATGGCCATATTAAAATGAAATATTATTTATGTTAGTCTTATTAAATTGTCGAAAAAAAAAGTTTTTTCAATACAAATTATATAACAATCACAACAAAATTTCATATATATATATATTCATTTCAATGTTCAATTGTTCTTTTTTCCTGTTAAAAACCGAAAAAAATGACTAGAACAAGATATACAAACACATGTCATTGTAGCAAAACAAAAAAAAGAAAAAGATCACACACAACACAACAAATGTGAGTAAAATTATACTGCTGAGAAGAAAACAAAGAAGAGAGAGGCACACGCAAACAAAACATAGCTATAAAACAAAGCACACATAAAATGACGAATATTGCAATTAATATAAAAAAGAAGAAAAACAACAAAACGTGCTGACTTTGATTTTTTTTGTTTTCGTAGAAAGAACAAAATGTTTAAAAATTTTAATAATTGTCTTTTTTGTTAGTTCGTTTTAAGAGTAAAAGATCACAGCTTTTTTTCTGGCACAAAGAGAAAGAAAAAGAAGAATTTAAGGAAGGAATAGAAACATTCTTTTTTGATTGACTAGGCTATTGTATTGTTATTCTCTTTAAGTCGTAATTCAGCAGCTAAACGACGATCATGTTCCTTGAGATAAAGTGTACGATAAGTATCGCGTTCCTCTGTAAATCGAAAAGAAATTAAGTTCAGCAAAATATATATATATAAACTTACGCGCAATTGAAACAAGTAATTGTTGAAGTTTTTCTTGAAAATAAGTCATTGTATTAAATGAACTATCAAAATGTTGTACAAAAGCTATAAAATAACAGAAAATATTTTATATTGAATCTATAAATTTGATTATAAGAATATATTACTTTCAATTGCTTGTGTATTCATTTCTGAACTTATTTTTGGCTCTTTAGCTGTTGAATCAACAATTGATGATGATGCTAATGGTGAAGACGATGCACCATTAATATGATGATGATAATGATGTCCATTTGGTCGATTAATAGCTGAATGTAATAATCGATTAAGTGTACCAGTAAGACGTTTACTAGCTGCTGATATTGATGATGATGGAGGTAAATTTGTTGTTATAGATATTTTATTTGGTAATGTTTGAATTGATGAAGATGATGGTGATAAACTTTTTGAATCATTATCTTGTTCAACTTTAATCACAGTCGTTGTTGTTGACACATCATCAAGTCCATTTAAATTTTTCATTTGTGATGATGGTGATAAACAATTATTTGAATTTGTTCTTTGATCATTATTATAATCACTTGTAGATAATCTATGTGGACTTATTTGAATATCGTCATCATTTGATATATGAAGATTTGGTCTACTATCATCTTCATCTGTTAAAACATCAATTGGACTACCACCACCACCAGTATAACACTGAGAACTCTCTGAAATAAAACAATGAAAATATTGGCTTTTTTTTGTCTTTATATATGTAAATGAATTAGGTCAGACTGAACTTCTTATGATTTTCTCAAGATTCCTAAATTTTCCTTTTGGAGTTAACACATAATCTTCACAAAATAGCTAGTGCATGATACTCAATAGAAGTTTTCAACGGAATCAACAATAGTAACGGAAATTGAACATCAGTCTAGGGGCTATAACATCGCTTAAGGGCAAAGAACGATTAAGATATTTATGAGCCAATATACTTCTTTTTTTACTTACAACGATATGAAATGAAGAAGACGAAGAAGAAAAAAAGAAGAAGAACTAAAAACTACATACCACTAGCATTTTCATCAATGGAATCAAATCGAAATTGTGCCGATGTTGAATCGGCTTGTTTGTCGCTAAAATAAATAAAATGAAAAAAACATAAATGCAAAATAAACTTAAAAGATAAAAAAAAAAGTATATGAATTCAAATATATATTATCTATATTCTTTTTTTTCTGAAAAATAAACTAAATACACACATACATAAACAATTGATCACTGCTTTATTAGATTTATATACATATATATGAGTTCTTTATTTTATTTTTGTATTCTTACCTATCCAATTGAATATTATATTTTTTCAGAAAATTCGAACACCATGAACGTGATGCAGCAAAATCTGGATTACCAGTTAATTCTCTCATTGTTTGTAATGCATATGAATGAAAATCACGATTATTTACACGTTCACCATTTTCTTGTCGTGTTTGTATCCATTCGAGTATACGTGAATGTGCTTCTTTATTTCGTATAGCTGATGTACGTTCACCATTCGGTTTTTGATATAACCATGAAGCAATCGTTGATGGTGCAACTTGAAATAATTTTGATGCTGCTTTAACACCATGTTTTTCAGCATATTCATGTATCATAACTTTTTGTTCAGGTGAAACAAGTTTATATGAACCACGTATACGTTTTTGTGATGGACGTTCAACTTTACGTTTTCGTTTATTATTCATATTATGTTGATAATCAATTTGATTTGTTAATGGTGGTGATGGTGATGGTGATTGAACTGTTGTTGCTGGTAATAATTGTTGTTGAACTTTTTTAACAAGAGCTGATGCTATAGATATACCATTTTGTTGTTGTTGTTGTTGTTGCTGTTGAACAGCTGCAGCAAATACATCAAATTTACCAAGTATCTTAGCTGATTCATTCTGTTGTCCTTTAATTTTTAATATTGGTGATGTTAATATTGATGATGAATCATTTGGATCAAGTTGTGGTAAAACAGCCATGAAATCCTTTTATATTTTAAAAGAATAGAAAATCCATAATTAAGATTATCTTTGAAAAAAAAGATTTATAATAACTTACAGCAATCATACTTTCATCAGCTGTATAATCAATTGATTCAATTTTTTGATGATGTTGATTAATTAAAGTATTTGCCACCGAGCCTAGTGGTGCTGGTGCATGTAGAGTTGTCGTTTTATGATCACTCATCGAAAGAGAAAATGGCTAGAAAAGAGAAAAAAAAATGTTTTTTTAAATATTATTCATAAAACTTCTTTTTTTTCTTCTTCTTCTTCTATTAAAATACTATCCGAAAATTTAAATATTCATACCAATAAGGTGAACATGAGTAATCGGACGAAAAGAAAATATATGTATATATATATATATGAACAGATGGCAACAGCAGTTTTATTTTATTTTTTAAAAGGGCGCCATTCGTTTTTTATTTATCATTATTACCTGCTTTCGCTTCTGCTTGTTCTTGTCACAAAAAAAAATCGTTGGTGGAATAAGTTCACTCAGCTATTACTACCTTTTTTTTTCTTTTCAGTAAAATGAACGACAGAAAAAAAAGTATATATGCAGAAACGAGAGAGAAGAAAGGAGAACACGAC